GTGAAGGTTGTCATCCTGGGACAGGATCCATATCATGGACCCAATCAAGCTCATGGGCTCTGCTTTAGTGTGCAAAGACCTGTCCCGCCTCCGCCCAGTTTGGAAAACATTTATAAAGAGCTGTCTACAGACATAGATGGTTTTGTTCATCCTGGCCATGGAGATTTATCTGGGTGGGCCAAGCAAGGTGTTCTCCTACTCAACGCTGTCCTCACGGACCGGACCAGTCCGGGCGCATCAGGCCAATTCTCATAAGGAGAGAGGTTGGGAGCAATTCACCGATGCGGTTGTGTCCTGGCTAAATCAGAACTCGAGTGGCCTCGTCTTCTTGCTCTGGGGCTCTTATGCTCAGAAGAAGGGCAGTGCCATCGATAGGAAGCGCCACCACGTGCTGCAGACCGCCCATCCCTCCTCATTGTCGGTGTACAGAGGGTTCTTTGGGTGCAAACATTTCTCTGAAACCAACGAGCTGCTGCAAAAGTCTGGCAAGGAGCCCATCAACTGGAAGGATCTGTGACCCTGAACTGGGGGAGGGGACTGGGGATGAGGGAGGGGGTCCTCCGGGCAGTTTCTAGAAGCTGCTGTTGAAGTATTTGTCAGTGACGAAGTCGAATTGAGAAAATAACTTCCCTAGTGATCCTTAAGCACTATGCACACCAGGGAGAACGTTTCCGTAAAGGGGCCATGTGCCAGGCTGCCCAGGAGCGGCAGCGTTATTCAGCAGAGACTGTACCCGGTGACCACGGGTCTGTCTCAGGAACTTGGCTTTGGCTTAGAAGACACGTCGAAGTTTTGGGAAAGGAGAGGTCAAATTCTCTAGACTCTCCTCCGCTCTGTTTCCTTTATGGTTGAAGATGGGAAGATAAGCACCTTTTTAGTATCTCAGTTAGCTGCTGCTCGCTTTTACCTGTAGGTTAAACATTAGGTTATAAGGTGTTGAGTGTTTTTATATAGAAAGGCCCCCTTCGCACATGGGCCAGGTGCACTGCCCTTTGATCCTTTACAGAGCCCTCAGGCCCCTCCTGGAAGGAAATGGGAGTTTTTTTATTTTTGCCAGTTCCCAGAAATTAGGGGTCAGTTTCCTGATTGTAGCAGAGGAGAAAATTCCTAAGGAACAATTCCTGCTGTGAGCCTTCGGACTGGCAGAGGCCAGGAGAAGTAGGCCCGGCCTAGTTTATATTGTTCTCTGGGTGTTTCTAGGAATAAGCAGTGGAAGTTGAACAGGAAGGAGAAAGGGGTTTGGTTTGGTTTTGTGTTTTTTTAAGAAGGGAAATGGTTTTCTCCCATGTGTATCTTGAACTGGGAGACAAGGCAGCATAGTGCCAAATGCTGTTTTTTTCTGGACTGAAATCACGTTGGGATCCCATTTTCTGCAACACTGGAGAATTTCGCTCTTTTAAAAAATACTTAAATGCCCGGCCGACGTGGCTCAGGGGTCGAGGGTCGACCTATGAACCAGGACGTCACAGTTCGATTTCTGTGGATGTTTTGTATTTTTTTACTCCTTTGTTTAAGAGACCATCTTTATTAGGGCTGAGCCTCCATCCAAGGTCCTGTTAGAGATGCTGTTAGCTGGGCTCAAAGTTAAACCTGCTTAGAGTTTGGTAATAAAAGGTTGCTGAAGTTTCAAAAAAAAAAAATTTTCATTTGACTCTCCATATTACTAAAATGATTTGCATATTTTCATGGTATGCCAAGTGATGCCAGATTGGTAGTGGAAAATAATTCACTCACTTTCTTCTATGTCCTTCTTTTTCTAGGTGGGAGCTCTAAACAAAGGAGAAAATAGGGTTGAAAATTAAGGAATAGAAAAAGTGTTCATTTATTTTTATGATATTGAACTACAAGAAGTACAGAACAAAAAAAATCATTTATCTTATTGTAATTGACAGTTCTGGAAAATAAGGATTTCCTAGCCTTTACAATCCCCATCCACATGTCTACCTTTCTAATAAATTGAATCTTTGTTTAGACATGATTGCAGCCAATCTAATTACAATTTGATTCCATATGTAAGTTGGGTTTGCCCAGCTATGTGGATGCTAGTAGACTGGGAAGTTCAGCTAATAGTTTGGGTGCACAATAAATGCACTCACATGAGGCTTTGTTGTACTGTTTTGCCTCTCTTGAAACTAGCCTTGAACTATTTGAGCATTTCTGCACAAGTATCTTTTGACAGAATTATACAGTGGGAAAAAGCACTGAATTAAGAATCAGAAGGTACAAAACCTAGCTGTGTGATCTTGGGAGAGTTACACAGTTTCTCTATCTGCAAAATGAGAATATGAACCCTGCTATTTTGTAGGCTCGTTATAAGAATAAAAGCAAATAATGTATTCTAAAATACTTGAAAACTCTAAACTATTATGTAACCTTTAAACCACCATGGCATTATTGTTATTGGCACTTTTCTAGGATCCTTCACAAGATCAATGATCATGTCAGCTGATCATCCAGAACTGACTTTTTCCCTGCACCTAATAAGGAGTGAACCAACCTATAACCAGCCAGTCCAGCAATGGAGCTTTGTCTCTGATTTTGCAGTAAGTGACTAAGGCTCTTACTTCATTTTCCTTTTCTGTTACCTCTGATTGCACCTCAGATTTTTAAGTACCTTCTCTTTTCCTCAAAGGTACGTGACTACTCAGGAACCTATACTATAAAACTGCTGCCATGCACCACCCTATTGCATCAGAAGTATCACCTGCCTGTCACCTGCAACCCCAGAGAACCTGTCACCTTTGATCTTGACATCCGATTCCAGCAGGTATGTCTCATAGGATTATTTTCCTGTGACTTGTAGAATCCCACTATGTTATTTGTTTGGTTTACTTTTATCAGTTAAAAAAATTCACACAGTGATTTTAATTCCTGTATCCTAGGGGGCAAAAAGGAAGTCAGACATATAGGAAGTAGGAAGAGAATTGCCTTTTATCAGTTGTTAGTTCAATATATAAAATCCATAATCTAAGAGTATGCAAGGGTTAATTTTTAATTATCTCTTCCTGGAATTTGCTGCCTTAGAGATTTGAGAATTTTCCCTTGTTCTTCTGCATTTCTTTATCTTGTTCTTGACCTTTAAGAATAAATATTCTGTAGTTCATGCCACCTCAAAGTACCTAACTGCCATATATTAGAAGAAATGTGAAGGCACTTTTTGTCTAAGAATCAATACTAAATGTTTGCCTGCCACTGACCATGATGTTTACAAGTCCCTTATATACCCCAATAAACCTATGGAAATGGGCTCAAGCAAAGCTACTTAGTCTCATTCAAAAAATGAATTAACCTCGTTAGTTTAGCCTTCTCAAAAAGGACAAAACCAATATTACAATTCCCTAAATTTATTTGGTTGGACCTGAAAATTACAATACTATGTTTAGTATTTTACATATCAGTGTACAGTAAATGTGTGTATCTGTGAATAATATGTTTGTGTACCATCAGAATAATCAACAACATATAATAGGGCTTTTACACTTGGTTTTAGGTCAGTGATCCAGTGGCGGCTGAGTTTAGCTTGAACACCCAAATGTACCTACTCTCCAAGAAGAGTCTCTGGTTGTCTGATGGATCCATGGGATTTGGGCATGAGAGTGATGTTGCTTTTGCAGAAGGTATCACTTTACAAATGAGGGGCCTGCTCTGTATGTTATACATTATATCTGTTGTGCTTTGCTTTATTAGAATTGTGTTTAGGAGAAAAATTGTAACCTCTTCTATGGTTTTGAGAATATAATTGAGTCTTTATCACTGTGGTAGGGCTGGGAGAGGGGGGTGTCACTGGAATTGGGTTTATGTTACTGAATGATTTTATTTTTGGGGAATTAATCTGTTTTTTCCTTACCTAAGTGGATTTTTTTTTCTTGAATGTATTTTCAAGTTTTACAAACTCAAATATTGCAGCTACATGAAGTTGTAAATGCCTCATGGGCCAGCACTGTGATTTTCTTGCCAAATATCTAGAACATGTGATAAGAGTTCAGTAATGACTGTGGAATAGATACTTGAATACCAGGGAATTTCCTTAAACCCTCTTTCACAATCAGATAACGTTAATTCAGCTTTTTATTGATGTTTTTAGTGCTATTCTATAAAGTACTAATCTGCATTGTACCAACTAACTTATTTATGTAAACTAGGAGGTTAAGTTATAGGCCAAGACTTGAGATTATTCCACTACTGGCTAAATATGTGAAGGCCAATACATATTCAGTCACTTGTGGTCATTCTGCAAAGTGGTCATATATAAGGCATAGGAGTAAAATAGATCCTGAAGCTAATACTAAAAGGTCTTCTGCATTTGATGCCATACTAAGAAGAGAAGGAAATTCTCTCTGGTGTCATTAGTGTCACAAATTGTTTGCAGTGTTACATAATAGAAATAACATTTTTGCATCTCTGTTTCAGGTGATATTATTTATGGTCGTGTTATGGTAGATCCTGTCCAGAATCTAGGTGATTCCTTTTACTGCAGTATTGAGAAGGTGTTTCTGTGCACTGGAGCTGATGGCTATGTTCCCAAGTACAGTCCAAAGAATGCAGAATATGGCTGCTTAGCTGATTCTACTTCACTCTTATATAGATTTAAAATTGTGGTAAGTGTGGACTTCAGTCAAGATAAAGTAAATGAATGCTGTACTTACCTCCTCCCATAACCACATCAAAATTAAAACTAAATTATAGAACAACCACCCTTGAGAACCACCTGAAGACTAGCTTAAAAAACTACTATAACTAAGAATATAAAGAAGAAGCCACATTGAGACTCATAGGAAGGATGGAAAAGCAAAATGGGCTGACCCCACAGCCATGTGTGGCTGTTAAGAATAGGGAAGGATACCTTGGTTGTACAGGTTCCCCCAGAGGAGCAAGGGATGCTATCCCCACACTGGGGTCACCAGCCCAGACCCCCCAGTTTTGACAGTCGAAGTCCCCATGACATATGGCTATGAAAATCAGCAGGGTTTCCTTCCAGGTGAGACAGAGGATTGCTGTAGACCGACCCTCTTAAGGTATCCTCTTAAAGGTCCTGAGCACAGACTCACTTGCTGACACTCATGCTACACTCCAGTGAAGAAACAGTAGATCAAAAATCACCAGGGACTCAGGGACATATGGGAATTGTGTAGCTTCACGGCAAGGGGTAGAGAAGCAAATCTGTTCAAGACTGAAATGCTGGCAGGCATCATTGTACCTTTGTTAAGCCCTTTATCCACACAGCCATCAGGTTCAGGGTGGCACCAAATCTGAGTCTCTAGTAACCTGCTAACACTTCTTGCCCCACCCTGGTGATTTCTTGAGACCCTACCCAACTGACACACCTGAATTGAACCTTTTTCAGCGGCTATTCGACACAAATGGCTGGCCTTGGTCCATGCTTCAAATGTTCCTAAAATCTGTCAAAGATCCACAAACTCCCAAAAGCAGAGGCTAGCCTGGGCATGTCCTATACCACTTATTAAATAGCCCCAAGCACAGTACTAGTGGCAGCCAGCCTCAGTTCACAGCATAGCCTCTCCCAGGTGCCCCCACACATAGGACTGGCAGCAACAAATTACAGATCATTTTGTAACTCCTACCAGGTGGCCTGCACTGGCCACAGAAAATGGCTGATCTTGGCCTGTACCAGAGCCCCTCCCAAGAGTTCCCAGAACCAACACAGTAGCTAACTTCATGTCGTACCAGAGCACAACCCAATTAACTCCAAAAATGACATACAGAAAGGGTGTACTAGACAGTCACCAGAGCCCTGCTAATGTGAATCTCATTCTGTGGGGTAAACCCCTGCACAACAATTCATCCACTGTACCCATGGCTAGTCCTACAGCCAGTCAGCCTGAGGGTCTATCTGACCCATTGATGTGCCAATAGCAATCAAAACTCAATTACAATAGGAGAGCATACACAACTCACAAAAGAGAGACCCTGAAGCACCCAGCTCAGGTGACCAGGCTGACTGTGCCACAGGACACCTACTGCATAAGGACACTCTGCCAAGAATGGGAGACATAGCAAATTTACCTAATACATAGAAACAAACACAGGGAAAGCAGCTGAAAAGAGACAAAGAAACATTTCCCAAATGAAAGAATAGGACAAAATTTCAGAAAAAAAATGGAGACTAGCAAACTACTAAATACAAAATTCAAAACACTAATTATAAGGATGCTCAATGAACTTAGGAAAGAATAATGAACTCAGTGAAAACTTATATAAGATGGAAATCATAAAAAAGAACCAGTCAGAAATAAAGAATATAACTGAAATGAAAAATACAGTAGATAGAATCAACAGCAGATTAGAAGAAGCAGAAGATCAAATTAGCAATATGAGAAAAAAAATAGTGGAAAACACTCAATTGGAACAGAAAAAGAAAAAAACGAGGATAGTTTTAGGAGCCTCTGGGACAACATAAAGTGTACTAACATTTGCATCAGAGAAGTACCAGAAGAGCAAGGGATTGAAATAAATCTGAAGAAATAATAATGGAAAGCTTTAACCTAGCAAATTAAATAGGCATACAAGTTCAGAAAGAGCAGAGAGTCCCAAGCAAAATAACCCACATAGGGCACACCATAATTAAAATGCAAAGATTAAAGACTAAAAGAATCTTAAAAGCAGCAAGAGAAAAGTAGCT